CAAACCTTTGACATTCTTCTGCACTGAGGAATGGTCTTTCGCGTTGCCTCAATCTTAAATTTCATACAATGAGTTTGGTCTATTTCATAGAGTCATTGTATGATGAAGATTTCTTACCATAACTTTGATTGGTCTGATTTGCTTATTTTCTTATGTATGCCACTCCAACCGTGATCCTTGTAATATTCCTGAAATCCATCTCCGTATCTACAATAAGCTTTAATTGCTTATTATTAATCATCCTGACTTTGAAGTTCACATTTTTATTTTTTAAAAAGGTTTCTATTTGATTGTAAGCAACCACATTACTTATGATTGCAGGGGGGTGGCTTGAAATTTCTGACAGTATAATTACCACCTTTCGAATCAAGAACAGCCGAAGCCTCCACACTTTTCGCTGGTTGAATTACTTTCGGTAATGACTCTGCCTTTATCTTTTTGCTGGAGCTCTTTTACTTAAGAATGCAATCCGTTTCTCGCATCAGTTCTTCCTTATCTGTTGAGTATGTAACTCTATATTGTTCTTGATGTGTAACAGGATTTTACTCGGTGTACTATCTTTTGGAATACTGATCCTCTTGAGTATAGTGATGCTACTATATCTCTTATCTATATAGATGCTACTATATCTCTTAATTTTTAGTTTCTCGTTTTCTGTCCTTAACTGGAAAACCTCACTTTTTAAGGCCAAGCAGAGTGACTTTAGTTCTGATATTCTTTTATGTATATCAGCACCTTGACCTATATTTCCTTTGTCTTGCGTTTTCGCTATACTAGAATCTGTTGTGTTTAGTGGACTCGATATATCCGATGGTATACCTTCGATGAACGGGTCCATTAGATGCAATAAATGGCTCTGCCCAGAATCCATAGAGCCGACCTCCGAAGGGGATGGATTCTCCAATATATTGGACTACCACCTGGGGTACCCAATTCTTTTGTTTTCTCCATTGTATTTCTACCAGGATTTAAAAACTGCCGCCCCTCAAGAATCAGATGGCCTTATTTAAGGGCTTTATCTCTGAACTTTCTGTGATAGTAACACTGCCGGTTCTCCTTTTGAAGTGAAAATTTTTGGGGCGCGATGACGAACGCGAAAACTTTCTCTAAGAAGATCTAAAGCGATTATCATGAAAATATTGACGATTTCCCAAACTAATATCTTCAATCATTCGATGCAATCGCAATTAACGATGTTCCAATTCCCGATCACGATTGTTACAGGGTCACCGAAAGAATCCGTAGCCTCAAAAATTCTATCTGCTAACGATACTAATTCGTCAATTGATTTGCCACACGCAAATACGAGCGTTCAAAGCTCGTGGCAAGCGTTGAAACCAAAGGTTTTTGATTATGTTTGTGTCGAAGTTGGTTCCCGCCAGTTGTTTCATGGTCCTGAAAAGGGCCGAAGGTTTGCGATCGCCGAGTTCGGCTTTTTCAAGAAGTTTTTTCGAGGTGTTTATTTTCCGAATCCGAATGCTATCAACTAGGGTTGTTTTGAGAAGTGTATATTTGTAGCGCAGCAACCATTAGACAATACTTCGTGCCGTCGCGTTTTCCTTTAAAAACAAGAAATTGCGCTTCAACTTGGATGAACCAAGTTAAAGGGTTACTTGGCCAAAACGACGGAAGTTAAGTCAACTCTCTTGTAACCTAATATTGGATTCGATGAATCCATCAATGGGTCCGTTAAGCTTTCTGCTTTAGACATTATACTCTTTGTATGAAAATTAAAATTGTAATTATAAGGAGGTAATACACAAACAAAAAAAAAAATGGAATCCTAAGAGGTCACTGAAGGTTTTTACGATCTCGATCAGTACTCTTGAATGTTGTATATTATACACCCAGATATTAATTTGCGATTATATGATTTGAACAAAAATGGTGATAATAATGTACAATGTATAGTTTAATAGAGGCAACTTCTATTTATATTTCAAAACATAGTGTGTAATATTTTACATAACATAAATAATCATTGGATTATATTGGATAATAATTGGATAATCATTGAATAATTGATTATGAAATCACATACAAAAACAATAAAAAAATATTAATTTCCGAAAAAAAAAAATTTAATTTATTAATTTATAATTCATAAAAAAAATTATTTGAAGCAATAATTCAAAAAAAAATATTCTGAAAATTTCGACTTTACTGTGTTTGTTAAAATTCGCGTTTACTGTATATGTACTTGTTTACTAGAGTACAGGTACTTATACTTGTTCAATTTGATAGATGAATTTAGAAATAAAATTATGATTGTTTTTTTGTGTTTTCTTTTTTTTGGATGATAAATATTTAGTTAGGTAAATTTTATATATTGGTATTATGTACAATCGAGTTTTATATGTTTGTACGTTTGTACATATGTAATGTCATATTCAAATAATCATTTTTATTATTTGAAAACAATTGTGTATATATGTGTGTATGCGGATACTTAAATTAATCAAAGTTTTTTTTTCTTTAAAATTTAATTCTAAAATAATTGTTCCAATTCTCGAAATTAAAAAATTTATTATTACTTTAATTTTTACTGAATTAGATAAGAGAATTTTTATTTTCTAAGATTTAAAACAAATAATTTTTCTTAATTATATTTCAGGTTTAATAATTCAGGTAATAACTTACAATTAAAGGAAAGAGTTTATTTTTGATTTATGAAATTTAAAATATTTAAATAGTTTTCAAGCAATTACGACTTGTTTTTTTTATGTTGTATATCTCACTTGAGGAAATATATACAGTATGACCGAAATTTGGGTCATGAATTTAATGGGTGTTAATTTAATGTTATTATAATTTAACTCGGGTTAGGAAATGGGGTAATATGCGAATAAAGATGATGGGAAAGCAGTAACATTAACCTAGCCTCTACTACTCAACACCAAATCTCACCTTCACGAGGTCCACACTGTTAAGTCGAGCAACCCTTACGGAAGATTTGGTAACCAATCCAAGTGGAGTAGTTTGGGTCGACAACAAACGAGATTGGCGGGTTAAATGTCGAAAAGCAAAGATGTTTAATTTAGTAGCGTCTGTCCAGCAACTGGCGGCTACGAGCGGACGACTATCTTGGAGCAAGCGGTTCGCTATACAAATGTGTTAACTAGCGGGGCAACCTCTTGTCCTTGAGTTGAAAAATTAATTCTAAAGGCGACGGAAATTTAGAAGGCAACGGGAAACCACTGAAGTAACATTCCCAAGAAAATCTTTATGAACAATGAAGTAAATCAACGGCCCTCAGTCTCCGGCGCAACGAGGCTAACTAAGAATCCCCAGAGGTAAAACAAAAAACAAATTAAACATTGGTTCATGGAATGTTCAAAGTTTATATGAGGCAGGAAAACTTGATAATTCCACATTAGAAATGACAAGGTTAAACATCAATATTCTCGGTATAAGTGAAATGCGGTGGCCAGATGCCGGCGAGTTCAAAAAAGATGACGCAAGGGTTTTCTATTCTTGTATCAAAATAGGAATCACAGGAATGGGGTAGGCATAATTATAAGAGGCCATGCTGCGAAATGTGTCTCAACATTTATTCCGCATTCCGATAGAACAATGCTGCTCAAGATAAATGCAAAGCTTGTTAACATCAATTTAATATAAGTATACGCACCAACAGCAGACAAAAATGATGAAGTTATTGAAGAGTTTTACCATAACATCGACGAATTAATGAAATTCACTAAACCACATGAATTAAATATTGAGCCTTATTCTAGTTGTCGAAGTAGAGCGACAATTGTCGTCACGACTTGAATTTGATATTCTAAATGGCGATTACAGTGACACGTGTCGTGGAACAGCGGGAAAATGTGTTTCAGGTATATTCCAGTTGTCGTTGTAGAGCGACATATGTCGTAGTGAAACGACGTTTTTTGTCGAAAAGTATTTAACAAGTTACAAGCGAGATGGATACACCAAAAATGTAAGTTTAAACAAAACAATTTAATAAAAATATAAAAAATAATAAATTTTGTAATTTAATACGTAAATTAAACCATATAATATATAATTTAATTTTTATTTTTAGCGTAAAAGTAACAACAAGGAAGCAATTTGAAGAATTGGGAAATTTTATGACGGAGAACGCCTTTATTGCGAAAGGCCTTAAATTTGCTGAGAATAGCTGCATAAGCAAATGCGAGTTTGATGCAAAATGGAACCAGCTAACAGAAAAGCTTAATAGCTTGGGTCCGCCCATTAGAAATACTGCAGGATGGCAGAAGGTAATTTTAACTTAAGTTTCATTTAAAATTTAATTAATTTATGTAAATTTCAGGTTTGGTGTGACTACAAATTGAAGTTAAAAAAAAAATTGGCGCACAACAAAAAGGAGTTAAATTCAACTGGTGGTGGTTTATTTAAATTAGCGCAACTAACTGCCATGGATGAAGGAATCATCAATTTACTGTCTTTACAGAAAACAGTACCGCATGACGCCGTAGTGTTTGGCATTGACGAAAATTCTAATTTTGCTCCCAAAGAAAGGAATTTAATAGATACGCCTGTAAATATACATGAAGTTGAAGAACAAGAACAAGACCAACAACAACAGTCAACAAGTGCTCAACAACCATCAACTTCAAAAAGACGCCGTCAAGAATCCTATAAACAAGATTTATTGGTTTCACAAACCGAAATGTTAAGTAAAATATGTGATTCAATGGTTCAAATAAATAAATATGCTAAAAGAATGTCTGATGCAATGGAAAAAAAGCTGAAAATATATGAATGCATGCAAGCGAAAAAGGAGTCTGCCATAGAATTAAAAATGGAAATTATGGAATTAAAAAAACAAGCTATTTCCTTGCAAATTTCTAAAATGTGATTGTTAATGCTGTAATAATATGTGTGATAAACTTTAAAGTAAATGTATTCACTATAAGTGATATTAATTAAGTTAACAAATGCAAGTACAAAAAAAAGTCTGTTATGTTAATAATTTAATAATACTATGTATTTATGTTACTACTAATAAAAACTTTATTTATAAATTAAAAATGGAGTTCATAATATTTGTTCTTATTAAAGAGGCATCTTCTTCATCCTGCTCTAAATCTTCATCGTTTTCATCATTTTCATCTTCTATTTCCACAGGTTCATCTTGCACGTTATATTTGATTTTTAAGTTGTGCAAAGCACAGCACACGTTCACAATTTGTGTGTCTTTCTCTGGTGTATAATGAAGCTCCCGAGCGTTCAACAGGCAGCGGAATGTATTTTTGAGAACTCCATTAGTTCTCTCAATTATATTTCGTACTTTGGAATGAAGCTCATTAAATCTTCCTTTTTGACTGCTGTCACCTCTATTTAAATATGTTCTGAACGGCGTGATCAAGTATGGTTTAAGTGGGTACCCTGCGTCCCCTAAAAAACAATTTTTGTTTATGAAATTAACATAAAAGTAAAAAAAAATCAAACTTTTACCTAAAATCCAGGTATTTCGTGTACCGTTGATATTTTCTCTTGAAAGTATTGAATTTAGCCTGCTGTAATTCCAAATAAAGGAATCATGAGATGATCCCGGATTATTAGCATCAACATACCTGATGCGCATTTTATGATCGCAAACCTTTAAGTCACATTATATTAAAATATTTACAAATATTTAAGAAGCAATGTTATACATACCAACATAACGTTTAAGCTATGATAACCCTTCCGGTTATAATATAAATGCTGATGATTTTTTGACGGAGTTATAATTCTAACGTGTGTTCCGTCTACACAGCCGATCACTCCAGGAAACCCAAATTTTTCATAGAATGCTAATTTAATCTCATTTCTTTCATTCTCTTCTAGAAACTTTATCAAACTGCTGCAAATTTCAGCTTCTAAAGTTGTTAAAACTTCTTTTAATATTTTAGAGAACGTAGGCTGCGCTAAACCTGTGTATAAATCGTTAGCAACACCTTTTTGATAGCTGCCCTCAGATAGGAAGCGTAAAACAGCTCCTAATTTAATTATAGGTGAAACTCCAAAACACCTTTTAGGGGTACTTGTTTTTCCCTCGAATATATTTAGTAAATATAGAAAGGCCTCCTTTGAAAGTCTGTAATAGCTTATAAATCTGTGAATAAAATAAAATGTTTGTAACTAATGTATTTGAAAAAATTATTATCTTACACTCCATTTGGCAAATCCAATGGATTAGAGTTGTCCCTAATCTTAAATCTTTTGATCCTTAATTGTTGTTTTTTTTCAATTTCATCACTCTCGGAGTCTGATGAATCCGTAAACCATAATGCAAATGACGACATTTTTTATTTCCCTCGTATTTAAAAAAATAAATATATACACCGAATTTTTTTTTTTTACTTTAAACTTTACTCGCCAAAATTTATTTTTAAAATGTATCAATTTCACTTAAAACGTTTCATTTTCGTTTATTTCTCGCAGTCACGTCACTCGACAACTAGAATACCACATTTCAAATGATGTGACAACGACAACGACAAATGTCACGTAAGTGACGCGACAACTAGAATAAGGCTCATAATATTAGGTGACTTCAATGCCAAAGTAGGTTCCGCTCAAGTAGAAGGAGTAGCCGGTCGTTTTGGTTTAGGAGACAGGAATGAAAGAGGTTCAGTTCTGTCAAGAACATAAAACGAAGATTACCAACACCTGGTTTAGAATACCGCCAAGAAGGTTATATATACATGGAAATCACCACAGGACTTCGATCTACATATTGTCAGAAACCAAATTGATTTCATACTAGTTAATAGAAGATTCAGTTCATTTGTTTTAAGGGTCAGTACTTGTCCAGGTGCTGAAGTGAGGACAGGTCATAATCTCTTATTAGCCAATATCAAAATCAAGCTTGCAGTTGTTCAAAGAGCCTCACATGGAACAAAACTCAATGTAGCTAAATTGAAAGATAGTTAAACAAAAAGCATAATTACTGCTGAAATAAATCAAAGGCTGAATGAAATCAGTTTTAAAACAAACAACATAAACGATATCTGAGCAGAAACGAAAGTACGAGTAGTTCTAAATCAACTTGCTAAAGCTAAATTGGGCAACCAACAGCACATCTCAAATAATAAATGGATGACTGAAGGAATAATAGAACTGATGAATTAAAGACGAAAATATAGGAATATAAATCTGGTAAAGTACAAACAGCTAAACGGAACCATCCAAAGAAAAGTCAGGTGTGCAAAAAAAGAATGACTCAATCAACAATGCAAAGAAATAGAAAGATTGCAACAAGTCCACGACGATTTTGACCTTCATAAAAAATTGAAAAAAGTATCCGATATTTATAGAAAAAAGACTTCATCTATTTTGGTAAATAAGGAAGACAGGGTCGTATTCGATATAGAAGAAAAGAAACGAGTCTGGGAAGGATACATAAAAGATCTCTTCTCAGATGGTAGTAGATCTACTTTGACTGAGTTAGTAACATCAAATCGAACAAGTTAATCAATCACGAAAAGCGAAATTGAACAAGCCATCAAATCAGCGAAAGAAAACAAAACAACAGGTCCTGATGAAATCCCAGCAGAAATAATGAAATTGATAAATGAAGAAAATTTACAAATATTAGTAAAATTATTCAATCAAATATATGACACTGGAGAAAACCTTAGAGATTGGCTAAAATCTACCTTTGTTACTTTACCAAAAAAAAGTAATGCAAAACGGTGTGAAAAATACAGGCTAATAAGCTTGATGAGTCACATATTAAAAATATTTCTAAAAATAATCCAAAATAGAATCTATCAAAAATGTGAAGCAGCAATGGGACAGTCACAATTTGGTTTCAAAGCAGGTATGGGTACAAGAGAAGCTTTATTTTGTACAAAGGTTCTGTTGAAAATTGTAAAGATGTGCAAAAAGATGTTTTTATTTGTTTCATAAATTACGAAAAAGCCTTCGAACGAGTCCAACACGATAAACTAATCGAAATTTTAGAAAATATGAACATCGACCAGAAAGAAATAAACTGCATCCAACGATTATATTGGAAACAAACAGCTTAAATCAAGATAGAAGCAGAAACAACACGAGAAATCGAGATTCTGAGAGGTGTTAGACAAGGCTGTATTCTTTCACCTCTACTTTTCAACATCTACTCAGAGAACATATTTAAAGAAGCAACCAGTAATGAACAAGAAGGTATCAAGGTTAACGGTATCAACATTAATAACATCAGATACGCAGATGATACCACGTTAATAGCTGGCAGTATTGAAGATTTACAAGCTTTGTTAAACAAAGTTAACCACCACAGTAAAGAATTCGGTCTTCATATTAACATTTATAAAACAAAATACATGGTTGTAAGCAGGAAAAATATCTTCAACAACACAACACTTGCCATAGATAATAAAGCACTAGAAAGAGTAACTAAGTTTAAATACCTCGGATGCTGGCTTAATGAAAATTGGGACTCTTCAGATGAGATAAGGTGTAGAATTGAACTTGTTAGAGCAATGTTCTTTAAATACAAAAAAGTACTTACCAATCATGATCTCAACATAGCACTAAAGGTCAGATTCGTGAAAATTCCTTGGATAGACAGAGTGCCCAATGCCGAAGTGCTGAGAAGAACATACAAGGAGCGTGTGTTACTTACCACCATCAAGCGCCGAAAAGCAGCATACTTCGGACATGTTATGAGAAACTCAAAATACCATCAATTACAACTCATAAAAAATCCTACATCATCCTAAATCCTAAATTTTAGGGGTTCAACCAAAAAACAGAGAAAGGTGAAAATTAAGTGCAAATTTTAAATTTAAGTGAAAAGAATATAAAGTTTTAAAGTGAACATTTTCTTCGGTGCTTGAAAAAGTTTTGTAGCATTAGCATTATATTAGCAATTACAGTTTTTTAAAAAAAAAGCCAAACTTTGATTGTACATTTGTACATACATGTGATAATTTTTATATTTGATAAATTTTGTAATATCATTAGCATTTTACACACATTTTCCTAAAAATATTTGCGGTTAAACTGTTTTTATTATAATAACAATTTTTGTGCATAATCGTGTTAAGAAAGATACATCGTATTAAGAAAGCACTTTTTTTTTTTTTTGCCATAAACATATTTTCATGTACATATAAGTACAAAAGCACATTTTTAAATTCAGAAAAGAAAAAAAAAATATTTTTTTTTAAATTAAGTGTGGTAAAATTTTATAAGTTATCGACACAACAAAAATAATTTCACTTAAACATAATTGCACTCATTTTTAGCACTTTTCCAAAAATTTATTAGTTTCACTCTATCTGTCCGTTCGTCCGTCCGTGGACACTTTTTTTGTTTACAAAACTTCTACACCCTTGAAGATAGAAAGCTGAAATTTAATGCGTACATAGATCTTTACTAGAAACTTATTTTCGTAGAACAAAATTTTTACCTATCTCCCCCCCTCTAGAAGTTAAACCCTCCCAAAACCTTAAAAATGGCCTTTTTGACTATTTGTTGCAATGAAACCATAACTATTTTTGAAATTTTGCAAACGCATAAAGGCAGCGGCTTGCTTCTCCTAGCGCGGTATACTATAGTTAAACTTTAGAAAAACAAGATGGCCGTTCAAATTTACCGTTATCTAAAGTCCTTTTTTCCCAAATTTTTGATGTCGTTTTTCTTCTAGACTCCAGCCTGTAGAAGCTTGAAATAGGGGCTTTTAGACATTAACAAATAGTTAATTTCGTTAGAAGAAAATTTTTTTCCATCTCCGCCCCCTCCCAAGTTATCACCTCTTGAAATTCGTAAAATTTGAATTTTTGACACCTTATATTTCCGAAACCGTAAGCTTAAACGCAAAAAGGTAACGGTAAATTCAGTGTCATTAAAAAATATGATTATTTTTCTTAACTCATACAATTAACCCTTAAAATCGAGCATCATGTGAACACTTATTCAAATTTATTTTTACTTTATTTCAGGCTGCATAAATCGTTCATCCTAAATGTATGCAATCCTATAAATAGTTTTGTAAATGAATGAAAATAATTTTAATAGTGTGATAGGTATACATAGACTGTATTTAAAAGCAGAATTTTCACTTGTTGAAGGGAAAAGTGCTACAATACAAACCATTGGTTTGACCCAACTTTATTATATTTATTTTTGCGTAGCTTAATTAGTATGATTTATAAATGCTTTTTATTTTAATTTTTATTTCACACAGCCTAGGGAAGGTCAGATACAAATACAAAGCGTGAGCCATTTTTGGAATATTTCTTGAGTACTAACATCATTTTATGCAATAGGGGCTCAGAGCCCACTTTTATTATTAATAAAGTTGGGTCAAACCAATGGTTTGTATTGTAGCACTTTTCCCTTCAACAAGTGAAAATACTGCTTTTAAAAACAATCTATGTATATCCACCACATTATTAAAATTATTTTCATTCATATTTAACTATTTCTAGGATTGCATATATTTAGGATGATGCATTCATGCAGTCTTTGAAATAAAGTAAAAATTAATATAAATAGGGGTTAACATAATGCTCGATTTTAAGGGTTAATTGTGTGAGTTAAGAAAAATAATTATATTTTTTAATGTCATGGAATTTACCCCTAGCTTTTTATGTTTATAGAAATTTGAAAACGTTTGCGGTTTCGGAAATATAAGGCACCAAAAATTCAAATTTTACAAATTTCAAGAGGCAATAACTTGAGAGGGGGTAGAGATGGAAAAAAATTTTCTTCTAACGAAATGAATTATTTATTAATGTTTATAAGCATCTAAAATTTTAAGCTCCTACAGGCTGGGGTCTAGAAGAAAAACGAAATCAAAAATTTGGAAAAAAAAGACTTTAGATAACGGTAAATTTGAACGGCCATTTTGTTTTTCTAAAGTTTAACTTATAGTATACCGTGCTAGGGGAAGCAAGCCGCTGCCTTTCTGCGTTTGCAAAATTTCAAAAATGCTTATGGTTTCATTGCAACAAATAGTTAAAAAGGGCCATTTTTAGAGTTTTGGGGGGTATAACTTCTAGAGGGGGGGAGATAGGTAAAAATTTTGTTCTACGGAAATAAGTTTCTAGTAAAGATCTATATACTTACAAAATTTCAGCTTTCTATCTTCAAGGGTGTAGAAGTTTTGTAAACAGACACACGGACAGACGGACGGACGGACGGACGGACGGACGGACGGACGGACAGAGTGAAACTAATAAGCACTTTTTTTCAAAATTTTTTTGGAAAAGTGCTAAAAATGGTTGGCAGAAAGAATAAAAAAAATTCTATAGCATTCAACGAAAATAGTTTCGATGGGCTATTATCAACA